TTTTTTTTTTTTTTTTTTTTCCACCTGGACACACCAGGTGTGTTGATGGTCATTGTTATTTGTAGTCTTAGAATCCTATTTGGCAAAGAATTATGCTTTGTAATTAATTTAGACAAATAATAGTAATATATTAATAATTAATAATCTAGGTTCGTACATTACATAAATATTATTTATCTAACTTAGGTATTTTAATATCAATTGTACTAATATAAGCTTTTAATTATTTGTAATTTTACATACACTAAGTGACTAATATATCTCTGACTTTCATTTGTTTCATTAGATATATTTTATCTTTATATGAATTGTAAATGTATTTTAAAAGTTGATAATTTTTGTATTTCTTAGCTGTTTTACATATATTATATGTCAAATTAATTATTTTTTAATGATCTTGGATTTGACATCCATATTGTATATATGAAATAAATAAATTATATTTTTCTTTATAATAATAAAAAATAATAATATATATTAAAATTCATTAGATGAATTAAATTATTTATCAATTAATATATTTATTTTTAATGTAGTTATATGTTGTAACTTAAAAAATTATTATAATATAACACAGGTAAATCGCACAAATAAAAAGTGTCATACTAAATATATAATAATATATATATATTTGTAAAAGGTATTTAAAATTTCAACTATTTTTTCTCATTAATTATAGATTTTAAGAAAAAAAAAATTAGCAAGCACCCGTGTAATACACGAGTATTGTACTAGTTTATAGTATTCCCGATTTGTTGCCATAGGGTATAGGTTGGTGTAAATTAATTGTTTGGCGTTACATCGAAAATCTATGAGTTATATCTTGGAGTCAAGATCATACTAGTACGAATCTCGTGCGATGCACAGGTAAGAAATATTTATAAGGAATAGAGAAGTATATATGATAATATTTTTTCATATTCGCATTAACTTATGGTGAATATTAGAATGATATGTAAAATAAAGGTCAAATTTTATATAAGATAACATCCATTTTTAAAATATGCACCCGTTGTTTCCTAAAAAAAGTATATAAAATTGATTTGCTCTTTTTTTTTTTCTCTAGTTTCATGTTTTTTAAAAAATTTCTTATAATAGCAAGTCAAACATTTAATTAAAAAGTCAAAGTTACTACAACAACAACAACAACATAGTCTTTTAGTTCCAAACAAGTTGGGTAGGCTAGAGATGAAACCCACGAGAACCAATGGTAAGAGTATTTTTCCAACAACCTTTTTATATAAGTATAGATGCTATAAATTTGGCTTCTCAAATGATAGAAACATTGTATATAGAATGTTTTGAAATAATTGTGGAAATGGAAAACGTAATACATTTATATTTTGAAGGTTAATGAGTTGTAATTAAAGCTGTAAACGAACCGAACGTTCGCGAACAAAAGCTCGTTCGAGCTCATTCGTGTTCGACAAAAGCTCGTTCGTTTATTAATCTAGCCGAGTTCGAACAAAAAATTAGGCTCGTTCAATAATCGAACGAACACAGGCTCGTTCGTGAACGTTTGATTATGTTCGCGAACATTAATTTAATATAAATTTATTTTATTTTATATATATCTATATAATATTTTTAATAAAAAATATAAAATTTAATATAATTTTATTTATTTTTTCTATATCTACATAATATTTTTATAAAAAAATATAAAATATAAAAATATTTTTATTTTATTCTTTTATTTTCGAGTTCGAACGAACAAATTTCGAGTCAATTAAACATATTTTAAAAGTTTATGTATTAAATTATTCGAACATGAACAAAATCGAACTTTGATGAACAATTAAACGAACGAACTCGAACACAATTTTTTGCTCGAAAAATAAACGAACGAACACAAAAACTGTTCGAACGTAAACGAACACGAGCTCGAACAGCTCAAGCTCGGTTCGGTTCGATTTGTTTACAGCACTAGTAATTATATTTTGGAAATTAATGGCACAAATTACCACGAAATAAAAAATGTAAGGATTAACTTCTGTTAACATTTTTCAATTAAATTTGTGCATTTTCAATCATTAATTTCAGAGAGCATTTTTAAATGAGTGCCTTGTTTCAACATTAATACCACTAATAATGACATATATTTATTATAGTTTAAGCGGATTTTTTTTTTTTCTTTAAGCTGTTTTGCTTTAATATAATCGGTTTTTTTATGAAGCCAATAGTTGGCGCCATAGTGGAGCCAAACTTCTATATACAATAAGTAAATCATACCATATTAATAAAACTATATTAGTGTTATTTATTTAATCACCGAATATGATAGGTTTACTTGTTGTATATGGAAGGTTGGCTCCACTGTTGAGCCAACTGTTGGCTTCATAGCAAAACCGATAATATATATAGATTGACAATTATTGTAATATTCTTCGAACTTAAGAGATATTCAAATTTATTTTATTTACACATTTTATAATTTATTTAATTAAGGACTAAGTTCGGCTAATTATTTTGTAGGAAATCAAGAGAGATTGCTTACCATATTAGAGTGACTGACACTTACCGATTTAGGAGGAATGGACCCATACACTAACTATGTTTGGTAGACCAATAAGCTAGCTTATAACTTATTTGGTTAGATTATAAGCTCTCGTTG